GACTTGAACTCCAAGAAAGCAGGACGGACCGGAGTCACTTACATAGGAAGGTTAAACGTTAGGAACACTCAACACTTTCACGAATTGGTTTGCCCCCATTAGTTCACCGAACTTCACATTACTGATGTAATTCAATAGGTTAGCACAATTTACGATCTGAAAAAGCACGCAGTGTCAGAGAAGAAAATAATCTGCCTTCCGTCTTCAAACGCTTGATCAAAACCAATTTATATTAATATTCAGTACGCATATGCCAATTGCTACTTCTCGTAAGTCGATGAGTCAGTAAATTAGTCCTTTCATAGACATCCGATGTAAAACAAGTCTTTCAGAAAAACGTAGGAATTAAAACTTGATCCATCAGGTTACATCCCACATTAAATATCTATTAACCTAGCCAAGCGCCTGCTTAGCTAAGTAGTTCACCACTTAGCTACACAACTAATTAACTACCTGGCTAATTATTAACTCTGTGGTACACATCTTCGGGGAATTTTGCATAGACATTAAACAGTTCTTGGCATTCTTCGCTGTTACAGGCTCCTGAAGTTAACTACTTTCATCATAAAACCCAGATATTGGACCATACTATAAATCAGATCAGTTAAGTTTACATCTTCACAGATTACTGCCCTTGAGATCCATTTCAAAATTAACCTCCTACCTCGGGCTTTGTTTCAGGCCTGGCCTTTTCAACCAGTTGAGCTTCTTAGACGCACTCGCAACTCTGTGAATCGACTATTAAATTTGCTCCGTCCGTCAAACGGTCTGTACCCTTGAAATCTCACCCACTACCTTGAATCTTTACTATTTGCCAAAAACTATTCATTTTTAACTTGGGTTTTATGACGTCTGAATATAAAAAGTGTCACGAGCCACTTCAAGCCTAAGTGTTCCTAACTGAATTTATATACTCAGTCACCTCAGTGGTTAAATACAAGGTGCAAAGTGAACATTTTATTTTTATTCTTGTAAGAAAGGCAAGACATTAAAACTTGCAAGTCATGGCACCACAGAGCAACAAATAATTCACATTTACAAGTTTTTAGTTCCTCTTATGTTGGACAAGGCTACTTCCCTTCACAATCAGGTAACTGTACATCATAGTAGGCAATTCCCAGAGCATCTGCGATTTCCAGTACGCTAGTACTTGGAGCGACACCAATAGCATAATTATAGGAATAAAACGACTTTCAATGCCGTAACTGGAATGGCTACGTTTCTGCATGTACACTGTATCATTTCTTGCTTTTCTTAATGACTGTGTGGCTTATAGCACCAAATGAGAAATGACAGGTGATTAAGAATGCAGATTTGTAAGGGATGTGGGAAGAAGTTGTCGTGACCTGTTTTAAGTGGGTATATGCTTGGAGTCGATAAGAATTCCCACACACTTTTGGGTTGATGTGTGATCAGGCCTATTGGCAAGGAGCTTTCGTACTGGTCTAAGGATGACATTGACAATGGCAGCGATGGTGGTTGGCAAAGTATTTCTCTTCTGCAGATCTAGCGGAGGTGATAACATATGTGACTTTAGTTATACGTGACGGTTGAGCTCCTGAGAATCCAGTTCTTCGATTCTAATGTAACAACAGGTTTTGAAATTTCGCCACGAACAGGAGACTGATGCCCCTCATGACACTGAAATAAACCGCGAATAACGATAGACGCCTGTATGTACCTCACACATTTCAGGCCAGTCGTCTCAGTGATGAAGAGAGTGGTTAGAACTGCTCCTTCGTATCTGAAGGATCAGGTTCAAATCTCAGCCGTCACACCATCTAACCTGGCTGATGTTTACCGCGATTTACCTCAGTACCTCAAACCAAATTCTGACATAGTAGCTTTACATAAGCCACGATCGCTTCCTTCCACGTGACTACCAATACATTATTCGTGTATCATTCTATCATTCGACGCTACATAATCTCATCTACTAACGGCGTCGTTAAATAAACAACACAATACTATATAAAAGCCTCATATTTATATGAAACAGCGTGCCCGTTCAGAACATAACTTAAGAAGTCGGAACAGATTTGAGTCAGGAAGTCGGAAGATGAAAAGTGTTCCTTCGTCCGAGCTACATACATATACGCGCACCCCATCGTAATATGTCTTATTGCCGTATTGCTTTGAGAATGGCACGAGACTAAATACCTCAGTCATCAATACGTGTCTTGTTTTTCCATTTTATCATGCAGTACAATTTGAATAAACTTATATTATCCTATATAACAGACAGAGCATTAAATAACATAAATTTAAAATTTCAACTGCTCACTCTGAACTACAACGAGAAATATGGACGTGAAAATGAAAGGAATCATAAAGCCACAACCCAGAGTTTGTGTGTTGTAGATGGAAATCTCCTCACGTCCAGCCAATGCTACCAACTGTAATCTAACTGGCATAAGCTGCGTCAACAGAAAGTGTTAAGTCACATCGTGGGTTCTCAGTTTCTGCTGTTCTGTACACTAAGCGAAACACAGACACCACCTGTGGATACGACACAACACGATGTGAATTTTATGACTACCTAAAACAATATTTTCTATTTATCTCACGATAAAAGTGTCTGTTAAAATTTATGCTAAACTCTTTTGTCCCATAACAACATTATATATATATATATATATATCACATGGATATTATTTGACGATGAGATATTTAAGAACGGTAATTTCAAAATTCAGTTTCAGAGTGGTAAATGTGTCGCGAAAGGAAAAAAGGGACCGAAAATGCATTGCTTTAGAAACCAAATGGGTAACAAATCTTTAATACGCACATGAGATCTAAGAGAAAATCCCGTCACCAACAAAACGTTAACCAGACTTGAAGAAATTCAGCATGTACGTTTTTTCCAGAAAATATTAAAGAATCGGTACAAGACTTTCGAAATTTGCTGATTGTTATTGTTAGAAATAATACGAGGGTGTGTAATGGATACATCTGCTTCAAGACGAAGTCCGGTTTCAGGCTCCTGTGAACACGGTAATGAAGCCTGGAGTAAAATTCTTGACTGCCTGAGTGATTATCATCCACTCAAGAAAGTTTGTGTGCCATGGAGGGAGTTTCTAATTTGGCAGCTTTTTGTCTGAAGCATTTTCTCCTGAACGGGCTAGCTTATCTTCATCTGCTGGTGGGAGCTTCGAGAGGTATCTCATGGCAGGCGCAGATCAAATTGTGGGCGTATTGCACAAGTTGCAGAAATCTTGAGGATTAACACTTATCTGGCTGGATTGCACCGTGCTTGCGTTATAGGCTCATTAACCGCAAATGTGAAATGTAACGTATTGTACACACTGTAAGCTAAACCGTCGGTTGAGTTCAATTAATATTCACTGACGTTAAATCCAACGAGGAACTTACTATCACGTTAAACGATTTCAACATCACAGGAGACGCGTTCAGGAAACCCAGGTTCGATTTCGACTTGTTCAGAGAGAAACACATTCAGCTGTTCCTTACTCTGAGGTCGTGTCTCAAATGGAAACAAGATTTACGAGAACTTCTAATACATTACGAACACGTGTTTTACCTTCGTCTTCAAAATTCTCTGTCCTTCTGTCTGACCTATTAATTCCTTGGTATGTAAATGGTTCTTCATGGTCGTCGGTACGAAGGTCATGCAGCCACAGGTCAGGTCGATTAGAAATTAAAACATGAATGTAGGCAACGGATCGGAACATTACCGAAATCCTGATAATTTTCGGGGCATTCCCCAGTTTTTCTGGGTAAACACCAAAATTTTCCCCTAAAACTGACCATAATAGCATGTTCCAACACAATCCCGCACCTCATTAGAAGCTACACTAACACCGAGAATCTAAGCAGTTGATCCAGCGTCCGAAAACAAGAACAATCATTCATATTTACTCGCTTTGTTTCCCATCCATTCCAACGGACTGTTCTGGGGTGCAATGGATCAGTTTGCAGTCAGCTGCAAACGACGTACGTAGAGTTTTGAGATTTTAACATGTGAAATAGAAAGCTCCATCTCCATCGCTCTTTAGCTTTGTCTTAAAATACGCCATTAATAAAGTCAAAAATAGGCAGGAGGATTTGCAATTGAATAGGACAAATTAGCTAATGGCATATGCTGCTGATGTTAATTTATTTGGTGATGATATAAATACAATAAAGAGGAATAGAGAAGTTTTACTAGAAGCTTGTAGAAAGGTGAGGCTAGAAGTAAATTCAGAAAACAACTAAGTACATGTTAGTATCCCGTCAGCAGACAGGCAGCTAATAAATCCTTTGAAAGTGTGACAATGTTGAAATATTTGGGAACAACAATAATAAATCAGAATGATATTCATGAGGAAATTGTGAGGAGACTAAACTCAAAAAATGCTTGCTACTTCTCAGTTCAAACTATTTTGTCTTCTCATATGATTTCTGAGAACCTAAAGATTAAAACATACGAAACTATAACTTTGCCTGTTCTTTTGTATGGGTGCGAAACATGGTCTCTCACTCTGAGGGAGGAACACAGATTGCAGGTGTTTGAGAACAGGGTGTTGAGGAGGATATTTGGGCCTAAGAGGGAAGACGATGCGGCGTGGAGAAAACTGCATAATGATGAGCTTAAAAATCTGTACTCCTCCCCCAGTGTTGTCAGGGTGATTAAGTCGAGAAGAATGAGATGGGCTGGGCATGTAGCGCGCATGGATGGGACAAGAGGTGTGTACCGGGTATTGGTTGGGAAGCCTGAGGGGAAGAGACCGCTGGGGAGACCTAGACATAGATGGTAGGATAATCTCAGGCTGAATCTATGGAAGACAGGAGTTGAAGTCGATTGGATTTTTTCTAACCCAGAACACGGACCGGAGTAGGGTTGCGGTTAATTCGGTGATGTACCTCAATTCTGCTCCTCTGCTAAAACCTCTCCTCTTCTGACTGATATTCTCCACTATTCTCATTTGCATTTCCTTTCTTCTCCCTCTTGCACTGACCAACGACGAACAGAAAATAACAAAAGGAATATTATCACTCACCATTAAAGGATGGACGTCGTGTACCGTGGAGTGGAGTTGGCGATGGATGTCGTGTGGCCAGACTCCTCTCAGAACAAGGGAACACACACTGTAAAACCAACGTGTGAACATGTTAACAGGGTTCAAGTAGATGGGAACACTTTTTATCCTGAGAACCATACTAAATCCACAACTACACTCTGTGCGCATAATGTAAAAGCATTATTATGAAATCAGGTGGTAAATATAATTACCATTGGGCTTCACAGGGTTAATGAAACGATAAGTAGGTGTAATAGGTTGCATAATTTTCGAAACAGAGCCGGTTAGCTCAAGCGGTAAAGAGACCAACATAGAGAGAGAGATATCCGATTCTCACACGTCATAATGCCTTTTTAAGTGAAAAACTGTTTAGGCTTCGACCTGTTTCGAATCATAGTTAATAAAAACAGCGATTTATTTAGGCATTTTGAAAGCGTTGTTCTTAAACGGTACAAATCGACGATCACAATGCCCGGCCGAACCTGGCAATCAAAGTGATCAACTATTTAATTAATCCTTGCCTCGGATTCTTGGGATCTGAAACGTCCAAAATATTACACGTAACAAGGACAAATGTTTGGAAACCAACTGTACAACACTCCTCACAAAGGCACGTGTCAATTGGTAAGTTTATTTACAGTAAAGTACTTCGATTCCAGATGCATATATTCAGGGCAGATAAAATCTGATACCATGTCGTATTGCTACTGAACTGGATGCGCTGACATGGCCCTGATAGCATCTCGACACGTACGGGTGTGGCTGCTAAAGTTGCGCAAACCCTCACACCCACCAACCTCACGTGCTCCAGACAGGTCCCACTTCCTTTTCTTTCCTTAAGCTATCTTCAACTTCTTTGTTCAGAAATTAAACCTTGTTATGTGACACTAATTACGTTTATCTTTCGGCTAATATTAATCGTGGTTCTGTACTGAAACCAGGAAAATCTTAACTGTAATAAATGGTTCAATTGTTCCAAAGAGAATAACAGACTCCATGAGAAAACAAGTCATACAGTTAGCCAAGAAAAACTCCAAAAATCCAAGCAAGTTCATTACCACGCTCCAAACAACCAGACACTGGATCCTACAATCTGATAGAGCTGGAACAAGCACACACCTTTATACTCCCCTATTTTAGAATACAATACCTTCCAATTCAAAGTATGCATTTTCCTTCAACACAATACGTGCTGCATATGTCACCCATCGAAGTCTCCTTGCTTCGCTAACACTAATAACATCTGATCATGAGTACAATTCTGATGTCCCACGTTATGCAATTTCAAAATGGAATCATTGTCATAGTATTCTGATCGTATTCGATGGGTCAGAGGTACGAATCTGAACTCGCAGATCAGATCTGTCGGCTTCTGGGAACTAACATCTTATAAACTGGTAGGTGGATACCAGCGTTTCAGAGAAACATACCGCATCCTTCTTCAGCCATGAAGCTGGAGGGTGGAAAACTTCCGAAACGTCGATATCCACCTGCCAGTCCACACGACGTTACTACCCAAAAGCCAACATCAAAATACTTTGTGCATTTTTAGGCTCATAGCATCATCAAATCAGCTACATTAAGTTCTATGTAGCTAATCTACGACTCTGATTGAGCAGGATCTTGTAACAGCCAATTTATAAGTACCCCATTCGAATCTCCGCAGCGAATGGCACAATACAAGAACTTGCTCTATTTCGAAATATACAAATGCCAACTGTTTCCAAAAAACTTCTGGTTCATAATCATATATCATTACATTATACGCCTCCTGTAGTTAATATCAGCGTCGTTAAATAACCTCACATTCCACAAATCAATCCACGGTTCCTACACAGTGAGAGTTCTTGCCGTCCTTGCTAAAATGCATTCACAAACTTCGTATTTTGTACAAATGTTACCACTGAAAGGTTTGAGGAGTGTAAAGCTGTACGTTATTATGCAGATAAATGTCGCAAACAAGCAACCTACAGCTATCACGTAAGATCTATTATCGTCCAAGGCACTAGATTATAAAAAGCAGATGCTTTAAATATACTCTAAGCATCCATACACCTAGATCTAAATTGTTTTATGCTACGAACACATTACTCCAGTAATAGAAGTTACACACAGCCGTGATCTAGACAGCAGGCGTACAAGAGGCCGTCAACTGGAAACCTAAGGCTGTCGATAAAAGAACGCTGTCATATCCACTGCGACGCAACAGTGCATCAATTCTTGCATAGCCCACACCGCTAAAATAAGAGTATTAAGTTTCATAGACGGGCTCTGATCGACGAGTCCTGGAGTACGAGAGCGATATAGCAGGTTGAATGACCGAACTCGCTCTGCGTATTCCCCAAAAATCGGAGTGATATCAAATTACAGACGTTACTTAATATCTGTCCGTCTGCATGTTCCAACCCCGAATTACTCAAAGGACTTCGATGAAATTGATATTGAAGGGTCCTACACTAAGGTTCGCCGGGCAAATTTAATTTTATAATCTTTCCTCAAAAACGCATCGTTCAAAAATGTAACCAACTACATGAAGCAGAGTACTTAAAAAGCAAGAATATCCTGTGAAGGTCAACAAACAATAATTCCAGGAAGTTACAGACTGGCGTAGACCACAACTTAATCAGTAGTACCAACACAAACAGATCGGAATAACAAATTAACTGTTCGCTCCTTCGGCAGGTTCATTTTGTTCCAAATAGACAAAAAAAAACCGAACATGAATCAGTAATAACTATTTTGTACCCACATCTGTCCTGAACTGCTCACTTTTCTTCTAGGGACAGAGCAGAAACAAGCTCAGTCAAAAAAATAAAGACTGTCTACGCACTGAACGGCCGGGCTTCGGTTCCCGTCCAGGCCTACTGACACACGTACGGGGCTCATTCCACTGGAGTGAAGTAGCCGAAGTGTAAAGCTACCACTCATCTCCACCTACAGTCCTCAAAGGTGTAGGAGTTTTACCTCCACGCTTACTATTCACCTTCATATCACGACGCTGAGTTACAGGGGAAACTTTTAAATGTTATCGTTTTCTCACAGCGACTTCCCCATAGATTACAATATTCCATGCGACACTGTAATGAATATAAGGTCACAGTAATAAGGTTCTATGATCGTCAGTTGAACACAGTACGTTAAAATGGGTCACGATCACTTCCTCTCTGACCCTCCCCGCTGCACATTTCGTAAGAAGTACTTGGTGAGTTGCAACAGGTGCCGAGATTAATATTAATATGAGTGAGTAACGATTAGTTATAGGGCGTGCCACTACGTGTTGTGAATATTGTTGTTGTTGCTGTTGTTAGGCACAACAAGTGTCAATCTCATGTAATGCCTGCAGCAGACGTATGAAGGTTATGAAGGCTTTTGAAGGTTACGTGTAGACATAATGCAAAACCAGAATATGTAATTATAATTTTCATAATCTTCTTCACTAGTTCTGAAGCACCAGTGCGGAACGTAGTAAGTGGAACAAACGAAACAGAAAGCAGGAGACAAGACCTGAGTAAGGTCGCGACACCCTGCAGCCTTCAGACGGAGCTCATGTTGCCGAGGGACGCATGTCCAGACATGCAAAGGAAATGCTTTTATAAGCCCGGATGTCAGAAGAGCTTCTTATGCAGACCAGGCCTGTGATAGCGCCTTCGTCGTTAAAAAAACAGCCCTAAGTCTGCAGATCTTATACCTCGACTGTAGAAGGAAGCTTCTCATACTGTGAATACATCCCTGGGAGACCCAAGAATACCGTGCGCTCCGAGTACTATTTCACATAATTTATCTCAGTCTTTCGCACAGTCTGCGAAGTTTGGAAAAATACCCATCCATGGATAAAACACGATTTAGACGGCTATCTTTATAGTGAAGCCGCGTAGTTTTGTGGGTGGTTTAAGAGGTTCGTCACTCCAACCTTAAAAATAGTAAGTGCGACATGTTCCTCCAGCACCCTGGTAACCCACCTACAACACTATACGGCGTCACAACCCAAAAGACATGGATCGACATTACCGTAATGTGAATCTCAGATCTCAAAATGTGATGATGTGAATTGGAGCTCTTACTTTGTGCAAAGACGTTTTTAATTATTTTCGTACATCGATAATCAGAACGATTTTCCTGTGTGTCCCATTTTCGATCCGTTATGGGTATCATTTTTCGCGGTCTAGACCCAGGCAGGGCAGAAATTTTCTCTTTCCCAACTTTCAGACCGTCAGTGGGACCCACTCAACTTCCTAAACTCACCTCCAACTACTTCTGGGGTTACGAGTGAGTACGTCCGCCATACATATAGCCTGTATAAAACGGAGCCTCTCTTAAACGGAAGACTGCCTTTAACGTAAAATCTCTCTAGAACTGATAATAAAACTTAAAAATCAATATAATAAATGACAAATATTTAAAGCAGAAATGAAAATAAGACACGGCAACTTAACGGAAGAAACACCGCTTATCATTTTCTCTTCTCTGTTGCCTGATTTTTTCTGAGGAAGAAGACACCTTTCAAAGATAGGAAACAAGTCTGATAATAGGCTGAATGTGTGCTAATACTCTGACTGGGCGTGAAGCAAAGAGAACAACAGATAAACGTACAGGCCTACCGCTCAGTACGTGTATCGCACATAGGCCTGTATTTCTGACTTGTGGTTCATGCAGTATGGTTTTACCCAGAAGTAATTACCTGCAATAAACGGAAAATCGGTACGGGACGAAAAGATGTTTACGTCCCTGGATATTGCATTAAAATAGGCCGGAGTAGAAAATTGGTAGAGAACAAAGCAATTTTATATTGGACATATTTGCTGAAAACAATGCTACGAAGCTAGGCTGTAATAGTTGATGACCGACCGACCAACCTACTCATTAATTTTCCATCATATTTGCGTGAATGAGCGTGCGTGATGCGTGAGGGAATCATGGACCCCGGCTTTACTTGGCCACAAAACGAAATTAATGATCTGTGTATCAGCTCACACCCGGGGGGGAAAAAGTTACCGAGAGCAGTGGTACACTGTAAACAAAGTTGTTATATGACATGTTGTAGACGGGGCATAGTAAATCGATTTCATG